TACTGCACGACATACCCTTATAAATGGTGCCATATCATGGTGGCCTATCATGGTGCCCTATCATAGTGCAGTAGAGTCCATTGTGTTTGTTGGCCTCAGCAAACGTGGATGTTGCCCTACTGGTCTGTTTACAGAATTGTGTGGGTGAGACTACGGTATAAACGACGACGGTGATAGCAACATACAAGATTCCTCATCCAGAAGGGCCTCGAGAACAAACAGCCATCTTCGAGCTGATGTCAACATCAGCTCGAAGATGGCTGTTTGTTCTCTGGTTGGCATCATGGTGGGAATCTTGTATGTTGCTATCACCGTCGTCGTTATACCGTAGTCTCACCCACACAATTCTGTAAACAGACCAGTAGGGCAACATCCACGTTTGCTGAGGCCAACAAACACAATGGACTCTACTGCACTATGATAGGGCACCATGATAGGGCACCATGATAGGGCACCATTATAGGGTATGTCGTGCAGTAGTGCACTAATAAGGCCTATGTAGCCCGTGCTTTTCCTCGATATCGCACGCCCGTCCCGCGAAGATCCGCACACGTGTACACGCACTTTGCCGCCGGTACTGTGAGATACGGAGACGCCTCTCGCTGCTAGCTTACAGTGATACTGTAATAAATGCATCCGCTCAGTCGACGCTTTGGGGAAACTCATCCCGCTGGGAGCGTAACATAACAGATGCATCAGACATGATGACACGTGTTTGAGACTGCAGTGGACGGGACGGCACAGGCTTGAAGATCCTGGTTGATCCTGGTTTCTTCCAGTATCAAACGGGGATGTGGTGGGACGTGCGCTTGAAGAGGACAAGTGAGGACGGCACCACAAGATACCTCCAACCTTGCGAGTCCCCTTTTCCCTCAGGGCAGCTCGCCCCACCTCTATTTATTTCCTTCGACCCGGCCTTTCGGCCGCTCCTCGAGCCCTTTGATCCTTCACCTGGTCTATCCTCAAGTCGAAGGTCATGCCATTCTCTCCCTGAGTCGACTACAGAGTTTAGTAAATAATACCGAGCTTGGTTTTAAATTCCTGGGTGCAGGATTTACGATGAATTCCTTTGTTACTATGATAACCGCTGATGAGCGTGCTGAGTTAGCTTAGCTCATAAAGGCGGAGTTAGTGAACAAACTGTTAATGACTGGCTGTCAAAGTTTGCTCAGCAAGCTTCATCAAAAGATCACTACGTTAAGGCTGTTGATAATGTTATGAAGGTTCGCAATAACTCTTCTAGGGCTGTTCTTTTGTTTACGTTTTTGCGATTTAATCAATTGAAGTATAAGCGTGCTGTCCACGAGAAGCAGGCTGAGTTGGCTAAGCAGTCGCGTGAAGAGGTATTTCAGCGTAAGATGGGGTTTTCGAGGAAAACCCAGTTGGGTTTCCAGCGCATGATGTCGGATTATGGACTGGAGAAAGTCAAAGTTTCAGCTGTCAATGCGCAGTTAAGTAACCAGATCTCGAAGCTTCAGACACAAATTGAGGCACATGAGTCTGCTCTTGAGAGGAAGTGGCGCCTCGTTACTGAGTTGAAGCGTGTGTCAAATGCGGCGTTGGAAAGAAATGAAGAGTCCTGGTTCGATTCATGGATGGAGATGGATGATGAAGCGCGTGCCGATTATGACGATTTTGCGGCATATCGCGCTATGTGTTCGTCGGATGCCCTCGTTGATCGTCAACGTGAGTTCATGAACCGAGGCGAGACGGTGGTGACGATTGCCTGTTATGTGGCTAAGCTTAACTCCAATGAACGTGCCGATATTGCGAAAGCGATTGAGGAGGAGATAACGTCGTGGGACTTGACATTTCTCAGACGCACGATCTTGGGAGAAGAGTTGCAGGGAGTCGCTCAAGTTGTGGGAAGGGCAGGGGAAGCTTGGAGGTAAACTTTATCTTTTAGTGCCTCCTTTTGAATCTGCTCATTTGCGGACGCCGTTCTTTTGATATGATTGGTTGAGCAGATATAAGAGTTCTGAATTCTGCATTTCGATTCAGCTCGGCTTTCCTTCCCTGCTCTTCATGCCCTTTCAGCATGCAACTGATGCACATCCATGAAAGGGCCCTGTCTGCGATTTACACACCTGGACACCTTGCTAGAAATGAATCTGTCCAATTATCCCACGTGTGTACAGTATCTCACATTCCTGTTAGCTTACAGTATACTGTAATAAATATATCCACTCAATCGATGCTTTTCGGAAACTCGTCTTAATTTTTAACAAGATCGCGCCTGGTTGGTTGAGCATTCGAGATCTCACGCCCGGAAAACTTCGATTGCGTATGCCAGGGATCAACTGCGCAGGGAGCTGCGTGCACTCCGCAACTTCGAGCACCGCCCGCATCTTCGCGCACAGAGGCAACCTGCAGCAATAGTCGCCTCCCCACACTCTTCGACGATCCTCAGCTTCCGCGTCGCAGACTCGGCGCTCACATTCCGCCATGGCCTTCGTCACCCCCTTCGTCACCCCCTTCGTCACCTTCACCCGATCCCGTCCCGTCCCTGACACGTGCAACCCGGCACGCCCGCGCCGCAGCAGCCGCACAACCCCGACGGCCTGCACTGCTGCAGAAAAGCCTTCCTCCAGTACGCCGCCGGCGCCCTCGGTCTCGCTGGTCTCCCTGGGCTGCCCAAAGAACGTCACGGACGCCGAGGTCCTTCTCGGCGACCTCTCCAGCCGCGGCATCAACATCCAGGCCTCGCCGGAGTCGGCCGACGTCGTGGTCGTCAACACGTGCGCCTTCGTCGAGGACGCCAAGCGCGAGAGCATCGACGCCATCCTCACCGCCACGCGGGGAAAGAGCCACGGCACCACGAAGGGCGTCGTCGTCACGGGCTGTCTCGCGCAGCGCTACGCAGATATGCTTGCAGACGAGCTGCCGGAGGTCGACGCCGTCGTCGGCTTCGAGCACTACGACCAGCTCGCCGAGCGCGTCCGCCTCATCGCCGCGGGCAACGCCGCCGCCCAGGAAAGCCGCGTGGCCGTCGGCACGGCGCAGGTCCCGTTTCGCCCGGAGCATCAGCGCTTCAGACTGGGGCCCGCGCATTCGGTGTACGTGCGCCTGGCAGAGGGCTGCTCCCATAGCTGTACGTTTTGCGCTATCCCGGGCCAGTTTAGAGGCAAGTTTAGGTCCAAGGAGTGGGAAAGCCTCACGACGGAGATTGACGCGCTGACGGCGGGCGGCGCGAAGGAGCTTACTTTGATTGCGGAGGATACCAACCAGTACGGCATGGACTTTCCGCAGCAGGAGTCGCGGAGACTCAGCCATTTGCTGCACCACGTTGCGGAGAATGTGCCCACGGCCAAGTGGGTCAGGCTTTTGTACTGCTATCCGTCCTATTTTACGGAAGAGCTTGTCGAGGCTATTGCCAACTTGGATGTTGTCTGCAAGTACATTGACATGCCGCTGCAACACATCAGTGATCGCGTGCTGCGGCGGATGAACCGCCCAGGGAGGGCCCACACGGAGAAGCTTATAGGTCGCCTGCAAGATGGGATTCCAGGGTTGGCACTAAGAACTTCATTTATCTGCGGGTTTCCTGGAGAGACCGAGGAGGATCATCGGGAACTCGTCAATTTTGTTCGTAGTTCGCGGTTTAATCATGCCGGCTTCTTTCCATACAGCAAAGAAGAAGGGACACCTGCAGCGACATACGATGATCAAATACCGGAGTCAGTTCGTCAGCATAGATGTGATGAACTTTCGTCGATTCAACAGCAAATACAGGAGGAAATTGCGGCAGAACGGGTTGGGACTATCCTTGATGTTATTGTGGATCGCGTTGAGGACGGCCACTCAATTGGTCGTTGTCGCTTTGATGCTCCTGAGATTGATGGCTGTGTGCACATTTTGCAAAAGATTGAACCGGGCACTCTTCTGAAGGTGCGCATTTTGGGAAGCTCATCATTTGACTTGTATGGTGAGCCACTAGTATAGACAATGAGTTACGGCTCTTCATAAGTTAAAACGTTTACAAGCGACAACCCGGGTTCGTCCCATCTTCACTTGTGTTGCAGAAAGTCATAGGTTTGCAGTATTCGACATATCTGCCTTCTTCGGCAGGAACTTGTTGTAGAAGTCGAGCGGAGTAGCTTCAAGTCGCGAGCAAACCGGTATAGCACGCTCTCAGGTGCTTTTATGAGCCCCTTGTTAACTATTTCCTCCAATTCACAGATTTTCAGGTGAACAGATCCTGTCTGCCTCATATACGATAAGATCGATCCCATGGTGTGCATGTCGATGGATTCATTCGACTCGATGGTAATAAGCGTTTTTTGGATGTCACTAAGAATAAATCGCACTGTCTGACCACCAGAGACCAGAAGATGCATGTTCCTTGATCTCCAATGCAGTGAAAATGTTGAGATGAAGTAAGTCAGAGCTGCAGCAGTAAGTAGAGAAGGTACCAAAGCGATGAGAGTAAGATTAAGCTCCTGAGCGCGAATCATTTGCTTGCTTTTCAGCATGAGTTCTTCGACATCACATTTAAGCTTCTGCACCTGCAAGATGAACGCTTGACCAAGGCTTCCCGAAATTGAGTTGCGAATTGGATGCCGTGCCTGTTGCATTATGATGTTCATAACAGCCGTCATGGAACACTCTTCCGCCATCTTCTCGGCCCCTTCAACCCCAGCAAGGTTCTTCTCGGTGAAGTCAATGAGCATTTTGCGCAAAATAGCCCGGTTCTCGGCGACAGACTCCGCACTAGCCGACGTGTCGGATACAGTAAAGACCTGCTCGTATAAACGCGTAATCGGTTGTATGATGTTATTTGATGCAAAGGCAGATGCAGCATCTAAACCCATTGTCATTTTCTCTTCCAAGAGCCCCGTCCCACCTAGATACCCTGAATTGTCAGACACTGCCTTTACGCTGGCAACTGATACGGCCGCCAACCCCGTACATCTTGCAGGATGACGTTGAAAAACCCATGGTCGACCAAAATCTCGTTCTAGTACATGTCGCAATTTCTTTTTGGTGCTGCTAAAGGTCAGAAGCTCTCGTTCTAAAATTTGAAGAGTTAATCGAATGTCATGGGGACTAAGGCTTTGTTTTGACGAGCTTGAGCCATGTTGATTCCAAAACTGTTCCAGCTGTCCACTTGCATTCTTTTGGTCAACGTAGTCCCTTATCGTGGAGGCTTTCAAAGAAGAGCAGATTACGTTTTCAATATTTGATACAAGTCGACTCGCGGACGGACTCGTTGACACAGCATGTTGAAACGCACTGGCCTGACGACAAGAGGTTACGATAGCCCTTCCAATCTCCTCTGCCCGCTGGGATGCCAGGGCCACCTGGATGTCGTCAACTACTTCCATATGCATACCAATAAACTGTTGCAAGACTTCAACTACGAGATCGATGGATTCCAGCAGCTTCTCATGTTCCTCCGCTAGAGCGAGATTAGCGTTGGGACCAACTAGTACTCGCTGGCATATCCCTGCTGAGCGTTCAACATTCGCGAGAGACTCAGATCGATAGTACCAAGAAAGCTTTTCAAGTAGTTGCAGATCTTGCATGACGTGGTGCATGAGAAAACTGCTCGTGACAATCCTTACGTGCGCGAGCGCGACATGATCTGAATTGATATCCTCATTTCGTTCTGTAATGATACTCAAAAGACACTCGGCTGTTGCAGCGCTAGTAATCGCGAAGAGAGTTGATGGCTGCTTCAGGTGAAGTGCATGAGCTATCGCGCTCCGCGTTCTCGCTGGGAAAAAACGCAGAGCATCTGAAAAAACGGAGAGCCACGCCATCCAGCGAACGGAAAAGCAAAAGATGCAGGGCCTTCTGACCTAGCTCTATAGGGAGGACGCCCGAGAATAGGAGAATCTCGGCCTTCCCAGATATCCTGATAGCTGCTTGATTCTCTCACCAAGTGCTCTGACACTTGAGCGAAAATGAACGGCGCCAACAGCTTCGGTACGCCTCGTTACAAAGCAAGCAATAGTCTGCAGAACCCTCTTCTCTGCACCTCGAATGCTGCCGGTTCGAATGCTGCTGGTTCGATCCTTTGATTGTGCGGAATGGCACTTGAAGACATATGCACACGTCTTAATACAGAAGTGTACCTATCGTATCCTTGGTACCGTATGAGGTATGAGGAGAAGCATGGAGCGACTTTTTTAATCTTTTCGTAATCCTTGAACAGGATTGGGGTGCATGTGACGGAAAAAAAGACTAAATTTCAACTTAATCAAAATCTCGCTGTTAAGAAACGCTGTTTTGATTCGCCGCCCCTGTGCAGCTTTGAATGTGATTCCCCGTGGGCGGTCTCGTGCGGGCGGAAGGCATCATCGGAGGCAGGCGTGCTTCGCTGGTACGGTACCAGTCGCAGTCGCTTGTTGATAGGCATCTCTAAGATTCTCCCCTCAAGTTTCTCTCCTCAAGACACAACTGCATGAACCGCACCATGAGCAAGCTAGTGCCTCCAACAACAATTGAGCGTTATTTTTCACTGCATTACGGACGCTCACTGGCCAGTCATGTAAGCACCCGCGGGAGTGGAGTCGCGCCCGTTGATGAAGACGGTCTGGGAGAGGATACCTGCATTGCGCGTCATCACAATGGAATCTGTTTGATTTGCCTTTCCCCACGACATCCCATTGTTCGTCTCGCCAAGACGGTGTCCAAAGTTGACTATCGCGTGGAGATAAAGGAGGTGAAAGGGAAGCGTAAGAAAGGTGGCATCGCTGTCGAAGAGAGGACAAAGCTCTGTCATTTGACGTGCGGTTCTGGAGAGGTCTACGCTGTCCAGTGCACAGTAAAGGGCACCTTGGCGGAGTATAACACCGCACTTGAAGACAAGCCAAATCTAGTTATGGAGAAGCCTTTGACAAACGGCTACCTGGCTGTTGTATTGCCGTGGCCATCAAAGATAAAGACGGCAGTTGATCATCTAGTACCTGAAGATGAATATGAGAACTCATGGGAAGCGTCTGGACACAGATGACTGCGTGCCCCCAACACATATTGCTAATGAGTCTTTATTTATTAGTAGCTGATCCGTGTCTGTCTGCGCACCATGATCGTGTTCTTCTGTTGATACGGAATACCGAAGAGCAACAAGTTTCGAAAGAACAACAGACAACAAAACTGCAGTAATGGTACTGGGCAGCTGACGAGGATTTACGTCCAAATGAGATTAAAAAACAAGCCTCGGCACTTGAGCGACTAGCTCGTGCGCGTGCCGGTGATTGTCGGAGATTTGCAAAGCCTCATCTAGCCCAGTTTTCCGCTCGCAACAAGTTCCCTGGCGTGAATCCTTGTCACAGTATCAAAATGGACGATATCATCCAGTGTGGGATATTGCAAAAAGTCGTCGCGATGGCTATCCATCATGGCCTGGTTAATTTTTGGGATATCTAGAAAATGGATTTTCTCCTCACGGAACATCTCCACAGCGGCCTCGTTTGCGGCGTTGAGCACACAAGTCATTGTGCCCGCCTTGCGACCGGCAATGTACGCAAGGTCCATGTTGGGATACTTTTGGCGATCGATCTCTTGGAACGTCAGGGAACCTATTTCGACGAGATCGAGCGGCTTGAAAGAAGGCATCGACACGCGATGGGGCCACGACATGGAGTAGAGTAGCGGGAGGCGCATATCCGCCCATCCCAGCTGGGCGAGGACGGAAGAATCTTCAAACTCGACCATGGAATGAATGATGGATTGCTTGTGGATGACGGCTTCGATGTTGTCGTAGTCCAATCCGAACAAGTAGTGCGCCTCAATGACTTCGGCCGCCTTGTTGTACAGGCTGGCTGAATCGATGGTAATTTTCGCGCCCATACTCCAATTAGGATGCTTGAGTGCATCCGCTAGCGTGACACTTGCCAAGTCCTTCGCGGGCCTGTCGCGGAAAGCGCCGCCACTTGCGGTGAGAATGATCTTACGAAGCGCGCCTTGCGGGGCGCCTTGCAAACATTGAAATATGGCTGAATGCTCTGAATCAGCGGCTGTCATGCTGACGCCGTGTTTCTTGACCAGAGGGACCACAACTGGCCCACCCGCAATAAGGGTTTCCTTGTTTGCCAACGCTATGTCCTTACCCGCCTTGATCGCGGCAACAGTCGGGAGCAGCCCAGCACACCCAACAATACCCGTAACGACGACATCAGCATCCGTCTCGGCGGCGCATTCCACAACCCCCTGCGACCCGCACACGACCCTAATGTCCTTGCATTGAGCATCATCAAGCTTGCTCCTGAGCTCATCTCTGCGGCTTTCGTCCAGGATACACACAACGTGCGGGCGGAATTCGCGAGCCTGTCTCACAAGCAATTCGACGTTCGAACCGGCTGTGAGGGAGGAGACGGAGAAGATGTGAGGCGCCTCTCGGACGATGTCGAGCGTCTGCGTACCGATAGAGCCAGTGGAGCCCAGGACGGCGATGCGGCGGGTGAAAGGCGTTTGGCTGGATAGGGAGCGCCGCACCATCTCTTGCAGGGCAGCGTCCGTCCCGACGGGGGCAGCCCCAGACTTGACGGCCTCGGACTGGGCTAGGGAGGCAGTCGGGTGCCGGCGCGAGGTGAGATGGCGGCTGGGAGGGGCATGCTGTCGTGGTTTGGAAAACTTGGAGGAGGAGAGTGGGAGCGGGGGAAGGGGGACAAAGGCCGACATGGCGTAGATATTGATGACTTCGGTGGGTGGGGAGCGGATGATGATCAGGTGAGAAGGAAGATGTCTCTGCGGAATAGGGATTTGGAGAAGACGACGAGGGCGGGGTGCCGCAGATCGAGCGAAGCGTCACTCAACACATCAACACGCGCCAAGTGGCCCAATGGTGTCTCATTTATTTTGAAGCGGATGGGCCAATCAAGTTTAAGCGACCGCAGATCGTCAACTTTGGCGACCTCCTCCCTCGCCGCTTCAGCGTTTGCCAGCGCCACCCCCCTTCGCACCTCTGCCCTTCTTGTCCCATCTCCTCAAGACATGGCATCCAGGCCACGCGCCTACCCGTTTCCCCGCTAGGCCCCCCATCTTCATCGCCCCATCCCCCAATGCCTTCCTCTATCCGGCGCCCCCGCCCGGCCTTCCTCCCGGCCTTCCTCCCGGCCCCCGCCCTCCCCATCCCCCGCCCGCGCCCCTCCCTCCGCCGCACCACCTGCTCCGCAACCCCGCCGACCTCGCAGCCCTCCGCCACCAACTCCGAGCGCCGCCGCGCCGTGCACACGCGCCTGGAAACCACCCGCGCGCGCGTCCGCCTCCTCAACTCGCGCGTTATCGTGCGCGTCGGCTCCGCCGACATCCAGCTCGCCGAGAAGATTTTGTCCGACCTGCCAGCGGCGCCGCCGTCCGCGCAGGAAGAGCCGTCGACGGACCGCGACCCCACCGCCACCGCCCGCCTGCGCCGCGACCTGCGCGCGCTGCGCCGCCTGTGCGAGGAGCACCCCTCAGACGATACCGCCGCCGAAGTCGTCGCGCAGCTCGACCGCGTCGTCGTCGCCGTGTCGAAGAAGCTTGCCCGACCGCGCGTGATCGACGTCGACGCTACGCCGCATGAGGAGGTCGAAGAGATTATTGAGGGCGGCGGGCGCGTCGCGGAGGACAGCCGGTGGGATGGGGGGCAACCGGAAGTGCAGGGCGAGGTCGGCGTCGTGGAGACCGTTAAGAGGAAGGTGGTTGAGAAGGGCGATGTATTGAAGAGGAAGGCGAGCAATGTAGGTGCGGGCATTGAAGAGAAGGTCGGAGAGTTTGTCAAGGATGATGGGTCTATTGATGTTGATGGCCTGCGCCAGTTGGTGGGCGGGTTGCTGGATACGGCAGGTATGACTTGGAAGAGGCTCAATGGGGAGTTGGTTGACGGGAAGGGCGCTGAGGGTGTGGCAGGCGCTGCTGTGGACGACGCGTATGAAAGGTTGAGCGTGCAGGATCCGGAGAAGGAGTTTCATCTGCGGGAGGAGATCGGGGTGCTGGAGAAGCGTCTGAATGAGAGCAGTAAGGAACGCGAAGCTGTTTTGCGCAGGGAGGATCAATTAGGTTTACTCATTCGCGCAAAGGACATTCGACTCATGGACGATGGTGTGAGCGCACTCAGGCGGACGCTTGCAGTGCGGGTTCTGCAACTGGAGATGCAGAAAATTTTTGCGAGCGTGGCCGAGGAGATCGAGAAGTCGGATGTGGAGATGATGATGGAGCAGCGGGTCCTTGTTGCAGAGTTTGGAGATCTCGATGAAAGAATGGCTACTCTCGAGTTGTATATCGAACAAGAGGAGCCGCTGCTCATTGACGACGATATCATGGGGGAGCTTGCGGCCGATATTCAAGACCTGAAGACAAGGCTTGGACTCGACGAGCCGCTGTACTCAGCTGCTTCACTGAGTTGGCCACAGACACGACAGTTCTTTGCGTCCTCAGCAAAGAAGACCCGTGAGGGTGCAGAGTTCTACTCTCGAGGCATGCGACTATTCGCTGGGGATATGCGCTTTGCCATGCGGCTCATACGAAGAGCTGTGCTAGGGTACACGCCGTCGCCGAGGGAAATTCGGACGATTCGTCGTACAGCGCGCGACCTTTTGACACTGATTCCGTTCACAGTCGTGTTGATTGCTCCTCTAACCCCAGTTGGCCACGTCCTCATCTTTGGCTTTTTGCAGAGATACTGGCCAGAGTTCTTCCCGTCAACGTTTAGCGAGAGGCGACAAGCCGTCATGAAACGCCATGAGCAGTATGCCAAGTCGCTCGGAGCGAAGGAAAATGATTCTCCTGATGAGAGTGGGGAAGAAGGCGGTCCTGGACGAAAAGGAAGCCGCGGTGGCGGTGGTGGCGGTGGTGGACGTTTGGCGTGGTTGCGGAAGTTACTGTTTTTTGGCGTCTTGGCCAATGAGGCAGAAGAGAATGACAGTGACACAGACGAAGCTGGTAAGGGCACCAGCGCTACTTCAAGGAACGGGGTAGATACCGGGGAGAAGTTGCCTGGCGTGGACAAGAATGGGCTTACAAAGGAGGGCGAAACAAGCAGGGATGGGCAGTCACGCTCGGTTGCGTTGAGCGACCTTGCTGAAAGCGCGATGGATGTCGACCAGAAAGCTCGGAAAAAGAGATCTTCTATGGCTCTTGAGGAACTGCACCTCGCGGATTAAAGCCGTGCGACCGTCACAAATACGCGGTGCCATCACGAATGGACTTTTTCGGCAAAATGCAAAGTAAATTAAATCACAGCCTGTGTACTGGGTTGTGAGCGTTTTTGGGAAGTACTTTATGCCTACTGAACAGTTGGTGGCAGGTTATACAAAATGTCGGTTCCTAAGCGTCTCTACTTGCTGACTTGCTTTCGAAATAAGCAGTCCAAAAACGACGCGGAACGCTACGCTGTGCCCCACTTATCTGGGCACGAGGGCATCGTAGTGGTTGCCATTGGCGTATAATACGCGAACGGCGATATCCCTGGAAAGGCGTCCCTTTCTCTTCTTATATTTTTCCCCGTATGTTACAATATTCCTGAGCTCGCCTCCGTGATTCAAATACACCTTAATCGGAACCTTGAGCACATCAACAAGCGCGAGCATTTCCGCCTCTCCAGCGTAAAATGTGGGAGCGCGCATCTGGCGACAGTATGACGAGATACTCCCCTCGATCACGTGCTTCGCGGCAAACTCCTTTGTGCGATCGACGCAAATGGCCTTCCAGGCCAGACTGCGCAGGGCATCGGCGTCGGCACGCTCCAAGTTCTCTGTGAGGCGGCGGCCCTCCGAGTTGGCCAGCCCCTTCGCAATGGCGCGGTACAGGCAGCGACCATCGCCGCGCACGGGGACCACCTGCAGGGAAGAGGCACGCACGGGTTGGATTGGCGGTTGGTTGAAGGCGAGCGAGAGCAGGCGGCGCGAGGTGTAGGCCAGACGATTGGCAAAGGGGACTTGCGGGGTGGGCGAGAACACGATGAAACGGCGGCTTGGAATTGCCATTCCGGGGCAGGGTGGGGGAGCGCGGGGGAGGGGACGAGTTTGGAGGGGAGGCGGAGGGGGAAGGGGGGGGGGGGGGGGGGGGGGGGGGTAAAAAATTGGGGGGGATTGGGGGGAAAAAAAAAAC